GATGAACAGGGATTCAGCCAGCCGAAACAAGGATGCACTCGGGCTGGAGAGCCTGCCGAGGACCTGACATCCCATCACTGCCACCATTCCCTGAGCCTCTGCGTGACCCTCACTGCTCTCACACTCTACAGCCTCATCTGGACCTTGGTGAGAGCCGCAACTCCTCCCTAAGACCCCCTCCTCAACTGGGCGTCCACTCCACACCAGAAAAGCCTGCCTTGGTTCCAGACCTGGTCACCGTGGTCTGAGTGAGTGGGCATCTGCTGGATATAAAACCTAAGGCTTGAGACTTCTGAACTTAGCACACAGAGGGAATGTCTGTCACGAGCCTGTCGTGATTAAGTGTGTTTGCAGTGCTTACAATTAATCCAGAATTGTTTAATATGAATTGATTGTGGCTATTGCAGAGCCTAGCATTAAGGATTTGTCATTTTCTTGATTAAGAACCTGTAGAGTGAAAATATATGGAGTAATTTGAGTGAATAAAGCATTGAAAGGGGCAGAAGCGCGTGGACATTCTTTATTTCTCCTCTTGACTGCATAAGTCACAATTTTGCCCCCTCATGATAGTGACCCTCAAGGAGAGGAGCAGGCACACCAGGGAACCTAATCCCTGTTTTTGGCACCAAAATGAATGGAAAGCAAGGAACGAGAAACGGATACGTGATAAATTAAAGATGGAGACCAGGCAGAGACACACACGAGAGTTTACTTGGCAGAGCTGGCAGATAAAGGCCACCTCTCTGTGGGAGAGACAGGCAAAGCAGGCTTGGGATCTGGGACTTTACAGGGAGGCTCAGGAGTCAGAGCTGGGCAGCTAGGGTGGGATTGGTGTGAGGGAGGTGAGCCTTTCTCCCCAGGTCCTAAACTGACCAGCAGGAACCTCCTGCCACGTCTCTGTGGCCAGCAGCCTCCACTCCAGGGCCAAAGGCACTGGAAGGAAGGACAGAGCGGTTCCCGTGGCCATTTCTCTGCAGGCAGGCAGCTCTCCTGGGTTGCTGCCCTGCTCGGCTCAGGGATGGTGTCCTTGACCCACAGGGAGGGATCTGCGCTGCCGGGGGCCAGGCTGAGGAGCAGTGCTGGGGCCAGCTCTGGGTTGAAGGCTAGGAGTCTCTTTTACCCTTCTTCTGGAGTCTGCTGTCCTCGCACACCAGAGGCTGTGCCTTTTGACACTGCAGTTGGCTCCTGAGGGTGCCCACCCCCCTGCACCTGCACCGAGGCCTGTGGGACAGTCCTTCATAGGCTTCAGCTCTGACAGACCAACTCCAGCTGCAAGGTGCTGATAGTCCAGGAACACGATGCAGAGCCCGTCTCTCTCTTAGGCTTCTGCCTCTCGGTGGCCCTTTCACCATGATCCCTCTCCACAGAGACTGCCAGTAAGGTCCCCTCAGCATGGCCCTGTCTTAAAGGCCAGAGAGAGACCCAAAAAGAGGAACAAGGACAGACGGGGATGCCTGAAACCATGCCTGGCAGACAGCCTCGTTGAAACAGACAGACTTGCACATGCCCATCTCTCACAATGCTTTTCCTCTGACAGGCCACCTCCAGCTCCATGGGTGTTCAAAACCGAAAGACAGACAGCCAGAAAGGGTCCGCACACCCAAGGCCAACCAACAGGGGAGAACCTGGAACAGACCAAAAGGGAGTGAAAGTCTCCAGGTCCTCAAGTCCCACTAGCCCTGACTCCTGCTCCTGTGGCACCACAGGTGTCCCCAAGAGAGTGACCACACTTGTGGAATCCAGGGTCTCAGTGTGCACTCCAGGGCAGTGCTGAAAACTGGGTCCTTATCCCCAATGCCAATCCCTAACAAGGGCACCTTTTTGAGAAAAAGGGAAAACAAGATTTGTGGCTTTGCTCCTTAAGTGACAGTCGCCATCTTAAGAAAGAGTCTCGATTTCCTGCCCAAGGGCCTTTCTGAGAAAGGTTCCCCCATCACACCAACCCAACCCCACCTCCTGCATTACAACCGGACTGGCTCTCACCCCTGAGCCTGCCCCATGACATCCATGGAACCAAGGCTCTATTGCCTCTCTCCACCTATGGAGAGGTGGCCTTTGTTTGTCAGCTGGGACAAGTAAACTCTCCTGTGTATCTCTGTCTGGTCTCTGTCTTTCATTTCTCACTCACCCATCTCCCAGTTCCTGATTTTTCTTTCGTCTCTGGTCCTAAAGGCTATGATTCTGCTCACCAACAAGAACAGGGGGCTATTAAAGACGTGACTCAAAGGCTACATTCCACATGTTCTCTGTTGGCATGTCACTCACTTGTTAATCTGGGAGATAGTCATTTCTGAGATCTTCTGGTGCCATCTCCAAACTAGATGACTTCATTCCTATGGAGGGTGTGGGCTCAGGGCCAGGTAACCCTGCCTAGAATGGGGAGGAAAGGTATTCCTGTGTCTCTTCAGATTAGGGAGGGAGAGAGATTAGGTAGGAGCAGGGAGAGAGGAACAGAAAGAAACATGTCTCTCTCTTTTTTTTTTTTTCTTTTTTTGTGCTGGGATTGGACCCAGGCTTTGTGCATGAGACAAGCACTCTACCAACTCAGCTATATCCCCAGCCTGAAACATGTCCATTTTAAAAATGAGCTGCAGTGCCAGAGCAACAGGGCTATATTCAAAGCACAAAGTGGACACGGTTACGTTTCCCCACTGCCAAATTCTACATTCCATTTTTTTGGAAAAATGGGAGACAGCCACATCAGTCTTAGGTAGATGGTGTCTCTTGATTGCATCCTCAGCACTAGCTGTGTGATCCCCAGAAAGAGGATCAGGTGTTCCCACACAGAGGAATCAGATGTGTGGTATCGGGATCTTGGCATGCAAGCCAGGGGACTTACCCATGGCCAAGGGTGTCACGTCTTTCCTGAGTTCACTTTCCTTTGGCTCAAAGTGGAGCAAACTGTACACTCAGGGAGAGCAGGCAGGAGTTCCCTGAAGCAAAAGGAGCTTTGGGGATGGTCCCTCAGTCCCTTGCTTTGCCCACAGGTACAGCTCCTCTGGCTCAACCCCAGGCAAACTCAGCCATCTCCTAACTCTCCTGCAGTTGGCTCAACAGCTCACCAGCACCTTGCATCTTCAGCAGGGAAGTGGGTTCCCTGGACATCCAGGCTGCCCCAGGAGGCTGGGGGTGGGGGGAGGGGGGAGGGGGAGGCTGCTCTCAAGTCCCATCTGGGTTGCCAAACTTGTTAGTGAAAGCCCAGCCAGTTTTCCCTGATGCCAATCCAAAGACGAGGAAACAGGTTTTAGAAAAAGGAAATAGAAGCTTTATTGCTTTGCTAGCAAAGGAGAAATACAGGGAAATCCTGTCTCAGAGCTGTGATCTGTCCCCCAGGCACAGCAGTGGACTGTGAAAGAGGTGATTCAAAGCCTACATTTGGAAAAAGTGCGCTCTGCTGGAGTTGTAATTCACTTGTTAATTGGGAGATAGTCAATTCTGAGATCTTCTGGTGCCATCCCCAAAGTCTGGATTACTGCTTTCCTATAGGGATATGGGCTCAGGGACAGATAACTCTACCAAGGGTGGGGAAGAAAGGTGACTCTGTTTCCCCTGAGATTAGGGAAAGGGAGAGATTAGGGAGGAGGAGAGAGAGGAAGAGGAGGAAACAGGTCCATTTCAAAAACCAGTAGCAGTAGCAGAGCAGCAAGGGCCAAGTCCAAGCCTAACGTGGAC